TTACGGAAAAGGGATGCAGTCTAGACACAGCCAGGAATATTTCAAAGTTGTAAGTTCTGTGTGCATTTAGGATGCTTAAATCCTCTGGAATAGTGAGATGCATTCTGCTTCTGTCTTCAGAAGAGATTTAGTGTAGAATACATTTTATTGGGATGGCTCAGTAAATATTTTTCTTTACATTAGGGATGCAAACTGTTGTTTAAAAAGTTAACCAGTTAAACACTATGTGGGCTGGGGGCTGCTCCAGCCAACTGCTCTGTGATCCATCCAAAATTTTCCTCTCACAATTTGCATAAACACAATAAAAAGCAAGGATAATTCTCCACAATACATATTTGTCATCATGAGAATCAACAAATCATTACCATCTTGCATTGTATAAGCAAGTGGCAAGCTGTGACTTTTGCTAAACAGTTGTTTTATTACCTCATCTTTCCAATCTACCTCTGTCCCATTTGTCTTTTTCATCCAGCTGTTGCATTTTGTCCCTTGTGTAGTTTGAGATCTCTGGGCACATGTTTTTTTAAAAATTTGTTCTGCATATTTCCTAGCACTGTTGGGTCCTGATCTTTAATTGGTGTTCCTGTGTGCAGCTATAATAATGATTCCTCAAACAATGTAGCTTAACACTGGAATCTCCTTACTACAGCCAACTTAGCAATTCTGCTAAAGGATGGGTGGAAGGGCCTAAGAAGAAGGCATTGGAGGGGGTCACAAGAAAGGTGACCTAAGCTTTAGGAGTAGTTTTGGACAGAGTATGAAAGGTTTCACAGGGTTCAGGGATAATTCTGCAGAGACAGCTGATTCTTCCCTTCCTTGCAAAAGGATTGAGAAAGCATGTTACATTGGGCCTTGAAATGACCAATGACTTAAAGGCTATATAGTTGTGTCCGGTTTGGATAAAAAAGGGGGGAAAGTTGCAAGTTGTTTCATGTTTGGAGTGACGGAAGTTTTGTATGTAGGGCATGAGGAAACCATGTATAAGTTCTAAAGTCACAGGGCAACTAGGAAGGTGGATTTTCTTGTTAGGAAATAACTGGTAATGAGATCCAAGTGTACCTGATTAGTCTCTGAAGCCGTTTTTTTTCTAGTTATAAGAGCTTCCTTCCCCTCTTTACCCTTGTATCTCGGAGTACCCCATGAATCAAAGGATAGCACTGTTCATGCATGGCTGGAGCTCTAGACATTGATACCAGTTTATTTTATGTATGCACTGGTCAGCATCAGTGGTAGTTGGCACTTTCTTGAGGAGACTGTACCAGTTAAGACCCTTATATTGTTTACTCTATCTAATGTGACATTAATTTGGAGAAATGGGAACCAGCTAAGCTGCATTTGGCTGTTTTCATTAATGTTCTGGCATAGAGTTTATATATATATATATATAAATATACTAAACATTGTTTAAAGCCCCTGTGTAAAAATCTTCTGTTTTACTATGCAAATCCAGAATGACTTCATGGACTTCAGCAGAAATATTCTTGATTTCATACATTGCCAACCTTTCCAGAACACTTGGATATAATCCTCAATTGCTGAAATTGTTGTTAAATAGCATTTTATGAAAATGCTATTTTAAACACTAAATTTGAGACCTCTCATGAAATTTTCATTGCATAAATTGTATTTTTCGCTTCCTCCAATATATTATTTACGGTATCTTGGTATTATTTAACAGAGAGGATTAGAAATAGGATTTAAAAAGTAGCTGAAGTATATATATATTAAAATAAAATAAAGCTCTTGTGGGTGAATGAGAATGGGTAACAGCATGGTTAGAAGTCAAGAGTTAATGACATCAGGTTTTGTCCATTTTATCCTGGGCAATTTCCCCATTTACAATCTTGCAGTCCTCATCCTATTGTTCTCTTCCATCTGTCATGAAGAGGCTTCAGCATGTAAACTTAGCAACAGAATTAGATTTTCAACCAGAGAGAAGATTTAAGAGGATTTCTTACATAAATTCCTAAGATATCTCTTTATACAAATCAGTAAAAGTTCTGTATTTGAGAACAGAACATAATTCTTAGACATTCTTAATTCTTATGGTTTAAAGTTACAACTTTTTTTGAGAAATGTTGATTTATCCATTTTTAGAAATGAACATTTGGACACACTGCAATTTTATTATTGAAATACTAATTGCTTCTTTCTTAGATTTTCCATTTCTGTGTATTTCATTGGAAAGGGGAAAACATACAAGGTACAGGCAGTCCCCGGGTTACATACAAGATAGGGACTGTAGGTTTGTTCTTAAGTTGAATCTGTATGTAAGTCGGAACTGACGTCAGCCGCTGCTGAAACTGATCAGTTTCAACCACGGCTGAATCTGGACGCCAGTTCTGACTTACATACAGATTCAACTTAAGAAACCCAGGCGTCCCCAAGTCAGCTGCTGCTGAAACTGATCAGCGGCTGATTCCAGGA